TTTAGATGCCTGTTTAAATTCATCTGAATCATCCTTGAGTGCAACACTACATATACTTTTCCTCAAGAACATGCCATATAGAGTTGTGAATTGCTCTGCAAGCAAAATGACAAATTATTTGTGAAACAAGTCCGCATACTACATTTGCTGTGAGCTTACATGGCATCCCTGTTGCTTTCTTGATTTGATTTGATTCTCCTTTCTTCATAATGAAACCGAGCACCTCGCTAAACCAAAGGTGATCTTAATGACACAAATCAGCGCTCCATGCCAACACGGTTCTTCTGGACCAATGACGTCTGTATGAGTTAGTGCCACCTTTCGTAGTTTCATCTACTAGTGAAAGAAGAGACTCCCGCGGGGTCAGGGGCAATCCCACTGTCGTTGGCTGGCAGAACAACTCCTAAAATAGGCCAAGATTAAAGGGAGGCAGCAGTGGTTTGGTCATTGTTCCACTTATAGCGGTGGCCTGCTGTGGTATCACACTATGGTATGCTTGTGATGTGTGTGTGGTGACGCACATGGTGTTTGGTGTTCATGCAGTGACGCAGATGGTCTTGTGCTGCAGTTCACTTTTTAGGACAGAGGATGACTGAATGGGATCTCTTTGATTCCACAAAGGTGGTTAATATATAACACATGAACGACCCAATCTGGACAGGCTCAGATTAAAAATGGTCAATGTGGTTTGTTTGCAGGAGTAGGGTTAACTTCTTGTTGTCTTCCTTTTCTGTCTTAGATTATTGTTTTTTGAGGAAGCACCAGTGACAGCCAGTGATATTTTTTATTGTATGCAAAAGAGCATCTTGTTCATTTTGATAGTGGGGTTTAGCGTGACAATGGTGGGTAGATTTTAAAGCAAATGCTCTGTGGAAGATGCAGCTAGTTCCCTGCTCCAACAACCTATTTGACTATTACTTTCATCATTCCTTTTGTATAATTTGGGTTTCATTTTTCAAGTTGTTAGTGCCAGTGTTGCCAGATTGGGCCAATAATTTCCAGCCCAAAACTTTAACTGACAAAATTATTTGATTGCTATTTTTAATTAAGGTTGATAAGCACCATTTTTATATCCTTGGAACAAAATAATGTTGATAAAATAAAATCAAATTAAATTCCCAGGAAAACGGATCAAAACAGGGCAAAGACATTAAAGAGAATTTGCAAATATTAAAATGCCTTGGTGGAAACTTTCAAAACGGCAATCAAGAAATTAACCGATAACTTAAACCCTTGCAAAAAAACATGCATCATTTTCAATGTAAACAGTAAGAAGTCAATTTAAGTGCGAAAAGTGCCCAATACAGGTGATCGGAATAAGCAGACATTAATGCACACACCAAAGCTAAAATGTGTCGTTCATTGATGCATTCTGTACTATACGATAATCCAACAACAAAAAAATACCAACAACAAGAAGAATGCTGTTACCTTTGTGTTGCGTTTTAATTTCAGACAGAACATCTTTTGGTAAGTACATATTGTAGAACATAACACAGAACTTGGCACAGTCAAAACAGATTAATTAAACTGTTGGGGAAAAGTAGAGTATAATCTAGATGGTTTAATAGCTCCAGATGTCCTGATCAGTGTGCACATGACGATGGACAGGAGTCATCCCATATTTGATTTCAATTAAGTAATTCAACTGTGCTGTCAGAGTTCGTTATAGGCCTATTTTTAAAGAGCCTTCGAGTCACCACGGGTGTAATCCACATTTGGCAAGTTGGGTCCCTCTCTCACTCTTTACTAGATAACTTGCTGTGTATTTATGCCACTTTTTGTAAAGCAATCAATTAAACCTATACACAGCTACAAGTTATCGCACTAAAAACGCATCAGTCATGAATGATAACGTCTGCCTGCTGATCGCTGATTGGCTAGAGTGTATGCTCGTCTACGACATCAACGTCAGCCGACTCTGCGGTTGGCCTGTGTGTTTAGTAACGTCACACTGACTGATTTTATGGAGTACTGTACATGCAAACTTTTGAGTTTTGTTTTATTAACCAATTAGACTATACAATTTAGATGTTTGAAAACTGCTGAACTGACCCCAAAACAGCCCAAATTTCGACCACCTTCCCAAACCAATTTTTCCCACCCAATCTGGCAACACTGGTTAGTTCCATATTCCCTGGCAAACTGCATTGTGGTTTGCTCCAAGGCAGGCAAAACTGAAAACTTTTGGAAGCTAAAAGCTGTTTTTTTTTTTCACTTTAGGGCATGCAGGCCCTGGGCTAGTTGGCCGATCTGTCACTCTCCCCTTTGGGCCAATGATGCGATGCCACTGAAATCGTCACATTCATTGATCTTCTAAATTTTTATGCCATGCACTTAAGACTGATTTGGATGGATTTAAACAGGCATCTAGATAAGAAGTCCCTTAGTCTTCTTGGTGTCTTTTACTGTTATATTTATTTGTCTCTCTTTCTCCCTATCCTTCTCACCTTTCTTCTGTCTACATAATACAAACTTTCACATGAAGGTGGAGCACTAGAAAGGTAGATAGGTATATAGATTTCTACAGGTGAGTGTGGTTGTTTGGTAATGTGTGAACTCATCTAGGGCACCATTTCAGTCTGAATGTTTTTTCAAAGTTCTTTTAGTTTTTGTTCTGTCATGAGGCCAAGTCCAACAAATGAGATTCCAATAATTAGAAAAGGCTTAAATAAAAAAAGCTAAACATAAAAACACTTTAATTCAGCAAGGATGCATTGAATTCATCACAAGAGAGTAAAGACATTTATAATGTTATAAAAATGTTTAAACTTTAATAGTGTTTCCACAAAAATAGGAAGCAGCAACTGGTTTAACATTGATAATAAGTATTATTTTCTTGAGCACCAAATCAGCATTACAATTATTAGAATTAGAATAATTTCTAAAGGATAATGTTACACTGAAGACTGGAGTAATGAATAATGATGCTGACAATTCAGCTTTGCCAGCGCAGGAATTATATTTTAAAGCAGTAAGTAAGGCCGTTAGTAAGGCCGGCAGGGGGACGCCCTGTGGTCTGTGTGGGTCCTAATGTCCCAGTATAGTGATGGGAAGTCTATACTGTCAAATAGTCCTTTGTATGAGACATTATGTGGTGTCAACAAATTATTTTGAATGTTTTTCGAAAGAGTATGGGTGTAACCCTGGCCATATTTTCCCAGTGGCCTCTGTCCATCATGGCCTCCTAATCATATATACATACCACTTGGCTTCATCACTCTCCACCAGTAAGCTGGTGTGTTTTGGGCTTTCTGGCGCACTATGGCTGCCATTGCATCATCCAGGTGGATGCTGCACACTGGTTGTGTTTGAGGAGATTCCCCCTTCTATGTAAAGTGCTTTGAGTGCCGAGAAAAGCGTTATATAAATGTAATGAATTAATTATGTTAACATATTTGTTGAGCCCTGGGCTTGATCAGATAATGGATTATATGAAGGTGGTTGATATGTAACATCTGGGTGACCAAAACTGGACATTCTTAAACTTCTAAAACTGGTTCCCTTGATCTTGGACTGCTTTGTGTGTGGGCAGGAGTGATGGCAACTTCTGTCTGTCCTAAAAAAAACCTAGAAGACTCATTTTTCTAATAAACAGAAGACAACACCCATGTGGACTCCAGTAGATGTGCTTTTAAGTGGATTTTCTCCTGGTAAACTCAGGTTGTGGTTGTCAGTAAGGTCGGGAGGAACTCTGTGACCTTTGGTACCCCATCGGACCTGCCCTTGAACAATGAACCAGTGGCATTCCTGCCGCTCCAGACGCCACTGTGCGGAGAGCTCTGAAAGCGGTGGCATTGTGCCCCCACCACCATTGTTGGGTTAGACAAAGCCCTTTATCAAAGGCACTGTTTGTTTACATCAGGGTCAAAGCAGGCCACCGTACAACCCCACTGCTCAACAGAGCTGTTACAGGATAAAGATGGCAATGACAGGTGAAGGGCATGTTGTGTTATCGTTTGACAGGACGGGTAGGACATGGAAAAAAACTGGGTAGAGGATGAGTATGAAGAGTAATCTATAAAGAAAAAGGGTCTCTCACAATACGTAAACGGTTACTGTACGCTGATGTATGAGTGTGAATGTAGCCTAAATGGCCTTCCAAGTAAATTTAAATGTAGAGTTTTATTACGGACAGTTCTGCTTTCAACCTTTTTTAGCTCACAAGTTCATAAACATTGAGCACGTAGAGCACATCAAATATGGCAAACAGAAGCTCAACCACAATTGCTTGATCTGCAAGGATGGACTTTTCAATGGGGTGACAAATCTCTTTGGTTTTTAATATTATTTGTTTTTTCAAAAAATGACGTGCGGGTGAGTAAATAAGGTCATTTTTGGGTGAACTAACCCTTTAAACACTATATGGCACGTCACTGAACCATCCCAATACACTGATACCCCTTTTCCACCAAAAAAAGAACTGGTTCGGAACTGGTGCTGGTTCAAAGTTGGTTCAACTTGCGAACCACTTCAGAACCTGTTTGTTTTTCCACTGACTAGAGCGCCCAGGGAACGACATCGTTACGTCACTGTGTACGTCGCCATACGTCTTAGCTAGAAACGCTTGCAAGTACAACATATTACTTTGGGATTATCTCTAACTCGTGTACCAAGAAGGGTTTAAAAACAATTGAAATATGTAAGTCTTTCAATCTTTTCGTTTGATATGCAATATTTTCAGATAAGTTTTTTATTTTCTGAAAACACATCTAAACCCGCCCCAGCCCCTGGCGTAAGCATGACGTGGTAAAAGAACGGTTCTAGTCCAGACTCCAGCAAAGAGTTGGTGCCCCTTTGGAACTAGTTATCCTGGCCGAGAACCGGTTCTTTGGCTGTCGAAACGCAAAGAACTGGTTCGCGCGCAGGCACTGGCTCCGGCTCTCAAAATGCTGTGGTGGAAAAGGGGCTTGAGTGATACGATTAATTGAAGGGTAAGGATGGTATCCCATCTTCACATGGTACATGGGTTAATCTTTTCTCTCTTTTTCTCACTACAGACTAAGGACTGTCCCATCAAGCTCCTGCAGAGATGCCTGCTAACGTGCGAGCCCTAGCACACAACCCTGTGACAGCAAAAGGATCCTGAGTTTTGTTTTAATGGACACTTATGGTTATTTTTATTTGTTTGTGTGCCGTCTCAGAGCACATCCATACGTTCTGTCTTGTATGAGTTCAGTGCTTTGTGATTTTTATCCGCTGCATAAACAACACCATAATCCACAAGTCTGGTTTAGACAGGTGCATGCTGTTTACAAGCGTCACACAGATGTACAAATTGTATTTATTTCCCATAAAGATTTCAGGTGCAATTACAGATTTTAGTGTTTATGTTTACCGTTTGCTTAACAGAGATCATATATCGATACGGTACAGACTGCAGATGGGATGTGACTGTACACCAGTAGTGTTTTTTTTTTTTTAAACGTATGTCTGTCTCCGTTAGGTCGTCGCTTAAAGTTTCACGCACATCTTCAGTTTTGGACCATAGAAACATCCTTTTTTTGTACTATCAACACTGTTCTTCAGTATCTGTGAGTGTCAGGCTAGTCATGCCGTTTCAGTCTGCTTTAACCCAGTGCAGGGACACAGGTGTTTTTCATCGTGCCTTTTTGGCATGTGGCGCAGCCCAGACTTAGCCTTTTCGTATCTGTTCCCGTACTTATTTTCGACCAGCATCATCTCCTTTTTGCCAAGTGTGCTGTAGAGAGGGAGGAGAAGAGGAAGGGTCTATTCTGGGACTCCCCTGGTGAAATCTGCTGCCGTTGCTAAAATGACACTCAGATGAGCACAGAGTTAGTGATTTATATATCATCCCAATAAATATAAATTAGTTCTCGAGTTATGTTTTGGTACCCACAGTAAATGAACTGTAAGGGGAGCGCCTCTTCAACTTTGTGAACAAACAGCACAATATGAAGGTACGAAAGCTCAATTTTGTCTGTATAAACCTTTATGCATGCTGTTGGCGAGATCGTAGTATCTCCTTCAATAGACGACATTAAAACAGCCTCAACATTTCATTAATATCTTATTTATAATGAATAATATTCAATATTTTAGTATTACCAATCAGTTTTTTGTTCCATGATACTCTTCTCTCAGTATTGCGTTATGTCCTGTTTTGATCAGGAAGTGAAGAAGCGGTACAGTTTATCGAACTGATTTGTGTGTTTTTCTTTAATATTTTTGATATGCACACTACTCCATCTGGTTCAAACTTTAGGTACAGCCATTAGCTTGCTACCAGTTGCGACACACTGTTTTAAAAGACAAAATAAAATGTGAAACTTGTCGTGACAAAGAAAAAGAAAAAACTGTACGATACGGTCTTCATTGTTATTCTGTCAATGGTACGAAAGTGAATTTTGTCGTCTGGTGAAAGGATTCATTCGTCGTGGATTTACCAAAGTCTTAACTAGCACAGATTGGCCATTGAAGCTCAGTTGTGGTTCTGTGAAAAAACAAGGTTTTGCTCAATGTCCAAAAGTATATCTAAAACCCAAAATTGCCTCTGTGGTAAATGGGACGTTGGCATTAAAAAAAGGGTACAGGTTAGTCTTTTTTCTGGCTAATGTCAGCATAACATTTGTAATTGTGAGAATGATCTCTAAGAGTTACACTGAAACAAATTATTTTTGAACATAAAAGCTTTAAATCAGCCACATAAATGTATTTGATATCAGCCTTTTGCTAATGTATGTGATCAAGCTGACTGCTTTTTGCCATGATTTTTATTGATTAGTACAGATGTGCAGTGGTGCAGCATTAATATGTTTCCCCCCCAAATTGTTTGTTATTGTTTTAATAGCTCCGATCTTTTCTTTTGGAATGTTTTATGAAAGGCATCTTTCATTTGGCATCCTTTCAAAGTCAACGAGACAGGAAGTTTGTGTCAGTTTTCGTGTATTTGTCGAACCTCATTAGTATGTTTTGGTACACTTGTCTTCTGTTCGCTATTGTTTTTGAAGTCTATGCTTGACAGATGGCAAAGTTCAGGTGTGAGGTCCGATGGAGTCGGAGAAAATTCAAAAAAAGGAAAAACTTTTTATGTTTGTGTCCATGTCTTTTTTCTTCTTTTTTTTCCTTTTTTTTCTGCAGTTGATGGACTTTCCTTTTTCCTCTGGTGGGAAAATGAGACTGAAAACAGGCAAATCATTTGAGCATTGCTTAGTGTTTGTATTTATCTTTTTTTGCTTTCAATGGAGCTATTGCAATAAAAAAAGTTCCTGTAACACGTTTCAGTTCTATTTGTTTTCTGTCTGAATGCCTGTGAATGAAAAAAAAAAAGGTCCACCATTGTTGAAATGGATTTTTTGCTTCGGTAACATTGAGCTTCAACATTACATGGACATATTTGCCAGGAGTATAGTGAAGACAGAAACTCTTAGGAGAATTTGGCAATGTTTGTAATGGTTTAATATTATTATATAATGCACTAATAGTGCTTCTCAATTTTTGGCAGTCAAATATTCATAATTCATTCTCCCTACTACTTTATCTTCTAAATTTTCCTTTCTAAAAACACATACTGTTTGTATACGTTCAGAAGGTTTTCCAGGTCATTTGACTATCAGTGAAAACAGAGAAAAACACACAGCAAGTGATCACTGGATTTACAGAAATCATTTCACTTTCAACAAGTGTTTTCTAAAATTTGCATATCTAATCAACTCCTGATTAACACATTAATTATTATTTGAATTATCACTGACTTATTTAACCATGCATTAATGTCTTTGGAAGGCGTTTGTCTTACAAACACATTAAAATGTACAAATTCACATCATTTCATATTTACATGCAATGCAGGGATTCCCCAACTTTTTTGTCAGCTTCAGTTTCTTTGACCTAATATATTTAATTGAAGTACCCCTGAGATTTTAATTTGTAAGTTAGGTCAATAATAAAATTGTTCAATAAATAAATAAATAAATGAAGTCCATGGTTCTCTGATGTCGGTTAATGGTGACATGACATGCAGGCAAATAATAATAATATATTTCTTTTTATATTTTTATGTCAATTTGGTACGCTATTACTACTCAGTAGTGAGATTATATTACCTTAAATATGTAATTATGTTACTAACTACAATCTGTGTCATGTAATTGTAATCAGTAACCAATTACAATGTGTAAGTAATGTACACATATATAGGCCTATATGTTTTTTGTCTAGACATGAATGTCTAACTGTGTGTGTGAAATTAATATTACCAAATCTGCTCACAATCTCAACTGGGTGCTGGACGATTACTTAAATGATAACATTTGATATTATGATATTTCCAGCAGGCCAAATGAAATTTCAAAATGAAAAGGGAACCTTAGTACATTTAGGGAATAATCAGGCACCAAAACTGTTGGGCGATGTCCAACATTGTCCATTGTGAAAAAAATAATATCTCGTGCAGAAAGAGTTTTTTTTCCCTACACTTTCTGAATTGTAGTTTAACTTGATAGACTTCAGTCAGATAAGCACACCATAACACCCACCCCCCACGGTCCACCCCACCCTATCCCAGATACGTCTTGGTGCATTCAGCATGCTCATGCCAGTAAGCAGTGTCGGTAAGTAGCTTGGGGAAATTAAAGCGGATAACTGACCATTGCAAGTGGACTTTTCGGTGGGGGGGTGGACTACTTTCCCAGAAACTCCGAGCTTATTTGCCCATGAGCATGTAGCAAGACACTTAAACTGGGAAACTATTATCTCCTTAAGGAGCTCAGACCACTGCAGAAATCCACCCACATTCATAGTAATGTCTGGGCATGGTGCCGTCCTTATACACACAGTGGCCATGTCATCCACTCTTGTTCCGCCATAAGGACACTCTTAATTGGATTCTCAGTATTTAAATGTAAGCTTTTTTTGGCATTGCTTTCTAACATACATGGATTAATCCACTGTGTCTGGCACCTTACACCTTCATTGGCATAGGATGCAATTGATGTGAAATGCCAGGTCCAAATATCATGGTTAAACCTAATGTTGTCATCAAAATATCATAGACCCATTCATGAATGTCTAATGCAGTAGGTTACTTTATCATGTTAAAGAGCATATTCTATACTTGCTGTTTAATTTCCAATTTAGCAGACTGTCGATAGCGGATGAGAAGATTAGCTGCATCTGAAATCACATACTTCTCTACTATATGTTTATAAAATGGTTAGTTCCAAATTCCAATCCTTGATTCTGATTGGTCAATAGAGTGCTGAAGTGATGACGTCACTTTGTAGGACAACTCGGAAGCTAGCGCAGCACATATGGGTTCCCTCGGTCGAAAAGCTATGCATTTTCCCCATAGATTTTTGGAAAATCGCAAAAAAAATTAACAAAGAGTTGTGACCCTTACACGTTTTGTCTATCAAGATAATCTTTTAAAAACACAAACAGACAAAATAAAGTTGCAGGTTATAACTGTGTGTTCTATGTCATAGATCAAAACGTGAAAATATTTAGAGGCTTTGTTCTCCACAGACCTTATTTCAGGCGATTTAGCAAAAACCCGTTCAAAAATCCCATAGACTTTAGAGCGAGGGAACCGTAGTGCTAAAATGCTATCTCACTTCCGTGTTTTGGCCTACAGAGTGATGTCATAACTTCGGCACTCTATAGCTGTGCTTCATTCATGATAAGACACGGCTATGACCGCTTCAACCAACGGTTCTATTTATCACTGCGCAACACTGCAGTTCTATGTTTTTTTTATTTCAGCTTTCATGCACATTACACATTGGAACGTTGTTGCTGTTTACGGTCAGGGACTTTTTTTTTCTAGCGGAAGGAAGGTTTTTAGCGATTTTATTTCATGAAAGTTTCACGAATACATTATTTTTACTTTCATATTTTTATTGTGTGGTAACCGTTTTATAAAAGCAATAAGGCAAGTGCTGTATCGTGATCTGTAGGCCATGTGAGAGGATTTGTGAAGGGCGTTGAAGTGATGCCAGTGGGTCAAACAACAATGACTAATATATTTTGTACAGATTACATTAATGGTATGTAGAACATGCTTTTTTGGCATATAATGACTTTTTCAAAATAAACCTCCTCAAGACAATATGCAATTTTGAACACCTCCATTGTCTTTATTAGTGAGTCATTGAATCACTGACTCAATCGATTTGTTCAAAAACACTATTTGAGGGGAAAAACACGGATGCATCCAAATGCTCTTTATTATATTCTATAATGGGGAAAAAAAATGTATTTCAGAATTAACAGTTTTCATCCGATGGACACTTTAATATCCCATGAGGCCCTGGGCAAGTTGTGAATAGCAGCAAAGTGATACTGTAACTGTACGTTCACACCGCCGCCGACTTGAGCTTCCAAAGCGGAAGGAAGTCATTCATTCAAATTCCTCGGCGTCACGTTTTGGCCATTTTAAGCGTCCTCTGAAAGTTGAAAGAAGCTCAACTTTATGGTAATGAGCTATGACGCGGTTCAGCGACACGCAGCGGCAAATGCCAGCAACCAATCAGAATAAAGACGTCCTTCACTCTGGCTGATTCCGGAGAAACATACGATGTAAACTTTCGTTCCCACCAAAACATTACTTCCGAAAAAATGGAGGAGAAGCTGATAATCGCTGCTGCTGGGTTTCCTCTCATATATGACGTTGTTTGTTTACAGTGTCATGAACCCAAAATCTCTGAGTCTGCCCAGATAGCAAACTGACATTGAATCAACGTGGAAATATGACATCGAAACAACGTTGATCTGACATTGTTTTGCTCATCGAATTAATGTTGAACCAACGTCAGACGCGTCATTCTTTCAAAACTAACGGAAAATCAACTTGAAATCAACGCTTTCAACGTTATGTTCTATGTTTCAATGTTTCAACGTTATGAAAGCAAACCAATTTTTGATTTTCATTTAGCTTTGAAGAATGCCGCGTCTGACGTTGGTTCAACGTTAATTCGATGAGCAAAATCAACGTTGTTTCAATGTCATGAGAGACGTCGTTTCCACGTTGATTCAATGTCAGTTTGCTGTCTGGGTGACGTCTTCTCCGCAAATACAGTAAAGCAGCACCAAACGCAACAACTTCGCGATTTTCCATGATGATCCAGTGATACACAATTGCGCAACTTTTATTTGAAAAATTTACGAACGCTCGTTTTAAGCGGGAATGCAATTCATTTGCTCACGGTGACAACGATTTGACCAATTGCACTAATGCAAATAATAATAATAATAATATCTAATTATTATTAGTTTTTTCCCTGACCAAATGCGACCAAAACGGTTCTAAAAATGCTGTCATTATAAAAGGTTTCTTCAATGTATTGCTTGTTTTTTCTGTTTATTACATTTCATGTTGTGACACTTCTCTTCCCCCAGCTACATGAGAGCGTTCAAAGCGCCCAAAGCGTCAACAAGCTTCCCCGTGCTTTTTGACAAGCGTCCTTGCAGAGCGGCCAGAGGCTCCTTTGACGCTCAAGTCGGCGGCGTCGTGAACGTACAGTAAGTCACATGACAATGACAACATGACACATGTATGCTAAGCATTCAGACTAGTGCAGTCAGGTTCCGAAAGTAAAAATCGAATTGTTTTTCCCATGGTGGAATTGAAAAAAACACTGCGAACGATGTAATCGAGTCCGTAACCGTACATTCTCACTACACAACTACACTGTTTTCACATGTAATTTGCAATGCTTCATGGCAGGCAGTTATTTGCTGTTGCTGTTTGCCCAGTTTTCAAATACTACTTGATTCATCCTGTTACTGGTCAGTTTGGTTCATGGCTTAACAATTTAACAAATACTTTTTTTGTAAATCCCAATGAGAAAATGTGGAAGATATAGAGGAACCAAGGCCACTAAAAAAGTGGACAGGCCCTGTTGTACTCTATGTAGAGTGTCCTTTTTTAAACCACTGATTAAAAACCCACTCAAAAGAAATACCTCCTCAGAAAGTATGCAAATTTAGCCTTTGCTATGTTGCTTGAAGGTGTGTGATACTGTAGTTCATCTTACTGTCTTACTTTGGCTTTGCTCTGAAC